GAACCACTAGACTGAGGAACAGCTTCTACCCTGAGGCTGTTAGACTCATGAATCTCTAACTAGAATAATCACTGTGAAAAACCATATCATGTTGCTGCTGATCTGTTTCATGTTGCTGCTGATCTGTTTCAATGTTGATGTGTTCATGCGTGCACATCTGCTCACAGACTCATGTTCATGTTTGTGCTGATGTTCAATGTTTTATGTTATGAGTGCTTAGTGTATATTTAGTTGATGTTTTTCTTAGTTCATATCTTAGATGTTATTACTCTTTTTCTTAGACATTTTATTGTTGGATGTAACTGGGACCCCGTGTACATAATTTCGCTCCACCACATGTACCACATGAGGTGCGAATGACAATAAAAAAAACTCTGACTCTGACTCTGACCATAAGAACGAGATCCCAGATAAAAGCGGCCAAAATGAGCATCCTTTGTAGGGTGGCTGGGCTCAGTCTTAGAGATAGGATTCAGAGTTCCGTCATCCAAAGAGAGCTTGGAGTAGAGCTGCTGCTCCTCTGCATCCAAAGAAGTCAGTTGAAGTGGTTCATCTGATTAGAATGCCTCCTTGATGCCTTCCTTTAGAGGTTTTCCAGGCACGTCCCACTGGTAGGAGACCCCGGGGGAAGACCCAGAAATCACTGGATGGGTGGTGTACAGCCTCTGGCCTGTGAATGCCTCAGGATATTCCAGAACAAGCTTAAAAGTATCGCTGGGGAGATGCATATCTGGGTATCTCTCCTGGACCTGTTGCCTTTGTGACCCGATTATGGATAAACAGTAGAAGATGGATGGATGAAAGTTCAGATACTAATATTAATAAAAAAATTATTATTAAAAAATATATCAAAAATTATTATTATTCAAGCAGCATGGTGGCACAGTTGGTAGAGCTGCAGCCACTCAGCGAGCAGGTCTCCCCGGTTCAAATCTCGGCTGGGGGCCTTTCTGGGTGGAGTTTGCATCAGTGGCACTGAAACAGGGGGGGCCCCACTTTACAGCCCATGCCTGTCAGCTCAGCCATTTACACAGGCTACACCCAACGCCGACGGCTGGGCGGCGTGCCGGGCGGCGTGCTGGGCGGTGGCACGGGGGCATCTGCCACAGTCAGGAGGAGGACCAGGGCTGGCGTATGCAGCAGCTCTGAACCGGTCTGTGGCAGCGACGGGGTCTCCTACCAGAACATCTGCGAGCTGAAGCGGGTCAGTAACCGGGCCGCCAAGCTGCAGCAGCTGCCCATCATCTTCATCTAGAGAGGAGCCTGCAGCACACGTGAGATCTGTGTGCGACGAAAACCTGTGGGTTGTATGTGTCGAAGTTCATCAGCCAGAACTATAGTTCACTGGTTCAGGAGGGTTACCTGTTGGGTTTATGTTTCCTGATTAAAGACTGTCTCCAGTGGGATCCCCTGGTCTGGACTTGAGACCAAAACCCTGTCAATTTTGCCACACAGTGTGGCAAAACTGAACATGTGCGCCTGACATTCAAGGTGCGTATGAACAGAGAGTGCAAGGTGACGAAAGAGCTCCACCCCCACCCCCCAATTCAAAATGAATCCGGTGCCGCCGGTTTGCATGTTCTCTCTGTGCATGCGTGGGTTTTCTCTGGGTACTCCAGTTTTCTCCCACAGACCAAAAGCATGCATGTTAGTCTGATTGGTAACTCTAAATTGTCCCTAGAGAGTGAATGGTTGTTTGTCTCGTTTGTCTCTGTGTCCCTGTGATGGACTGGAGACCTGTCCTGGGTGTGCCCCATCTCTCGCACTGTGATTGCTGAATATGGGCTCCAGTGACCCATGCAACCCAAAAAGGAAGAAGTGGGTAAAGATAATGGATGGAAGGATGGATGGATGGATATTGTTATTCAAGAAATAAATAGAATGTGTTTAAAAGGGAAGCTAGCCTTTGAAAACTTTTTGCTTTATTTGAGTGTTCTGTTACTTTGAGCTCATATCTTGCTACTTTTAGCTCTCAGCTTGCATTTTGCAGCTTTTGGCTTTACCAACTCAGTATCTTCAGCAAATTTCAGCAGTCCTTCAGCATCCACAATGAATTTCAACACTAATTGTAATTTCTCTAGAACAAACCTGTGATCTCATGGAATGTTCTCATATTGGAAGTGTTTTATTAGTAATATTTGTATTATTTATGGATTATTTATAAGTATTATCTTTATTGAAACATGCCTCTTTATACAACGCTGCACTTTGTGAGCACAAAATATGAACACACTACCTCCTTGTGTTTGTGATTTTTGTTGTTTGTCTTCATTTATGATTGAATCGTTCTACTTTAATGTCATGTTTATAGACATGGTCTGCAGTTTGTGAGTGTGCGGTGTGTGTGTGTGTGAGCTCATACAGGGCTGTTGAGGATCATGAGGCACTGGTCAAAGTGGTGGTGCTCCATGGTGGAGTGGCAGTAGAGCTGGGCCAGGGGGTGGTCGCTCCTAAACCAAGCACACATAAAACAAACCGAGGGCATGAACACGGTGTTGGTCAGAAGGGGACCTCCAGTTCTGTTCTGGGTTTGACCTGCTCTACTGTACCTCTGTATGTAGGAGTTGTTGACTCCTCTGTGGTCCAGGTCGTGGCAGAGCGTGGCGATCATCAGAGCCAAAATCTCCAGATTATTCAAGTCATTCTGTCCAAACATTAAGTGATGATGAAGGAAAAGGGAGAGGCCACAAAGAAAAGTCAAACAAACAGAAATTAGAGGAAGAAGCAGAAAATACTTCCATCAAGTTGCCATTGTTCAACAGAATAAAATTGCACCACTTTACAGTGAGGGTCCTTGTTATAAAGAATGTCTAAAGCTTTCTAATATGTTATTTTTGACTTCATAAACACTTCATAAAGCATGCATAAGCACTCATAAAACCCTGTTCATATACTGGAGCAGACTCTTTGTTTCTGTAGTTTTCAATTCACCTAAATGTAAATTTTAACTGATCAACTTTACAACTTTGTTTTTACTACCTTTAAGACAAATGTTTGTGTACAAATGCTCTTGAAGCTTACAGAACATGCAGTACATGCATCCACTGAAAACTGTCATATTAAATATAACATGAAATATTTAAGCTGGACATGGGCACCAGTGACTCTCACAACCCAAAAAATAAGAAGTGGGTAAAGATAATGGATGGATGGATGGATGATGAAGAATAAAGATAAACAGCAAGAATAGACAGCAACAATACAAAGTTGGCTCACTGTTTGGCAAGAAACTAGTCAAAGATGTTCATTTTTTTATATTGTACACTAACTGTTTATGGTCTGTTGAGTGTTTACAGTTAAATACTTGCATGAACAACTATTTATGTATTTTATTAGGGAACACTGTTGTAAAGTGGTATTAATAAAACGTTGGTTACGTACTGTAACCCCAGATTCTATGAGTATAGGCGTAGCCCTTTAAGGTTGTCGCTGATGGGTTTATCCTGTTATGCGCAAGCATCATACTGAAAAAATGAGTCCACGCCCACCTGCTGTGTGGGCCCCACCCGATCCGTATAAGTTACATTAAGAGCGGGTACTCGGCTCCCAAATAGCTTATTTTTTCTTGTTTGTGAGCTTCAGCTATTCAGGAGCCAGTGAGGCTCGACGCTTAAAGGGCTACGCCTATACTCAGAATCTGGGGTTACAGTACGTAACCAACGTTCTATGTCGTATAGGCTTCGCCCTTTAAGGCTGTCGCTGATGGGTTAAGGGCGAAGCGGATGTGGTCCTTGCCTCACTGGGTCCATTCGAACACAGTATGAAGCGGAAGCTTGCCCAAAAAACGTCTTGTCACTCAGCTCCCCATGTGCATAACTACGCATTGCGTAATTATGTGCCATGCACAGACGCATGTTGTGTAGCTATGCGTTCTGACAAAACATGAACGCCCAGGAAATTTTCAACGGGGAGAGGATGTTGAAAAGAAGGGGGGGGGGGGGCATGAACCAACTGGTTCATGGCTGAACAGTATAAACAGATTAATATAACTGAACTGATTATTGATCAAATGAACTGATTGGTAACAATAGTCATGAACTGATTAGTGACAATAGAACCAAAATCACAGACACAACTTGTGACTGATAACAACATCTCACACTGTGAAGCATGCAGACAGATGTGAGCTTAAACAGAGTTCCATGAAAAACAACAATATTCATTCTGTTAGAGCACTAAGGACAGAATGTGTCATGGAACGAGCCGTCACATCACGTAGGTAAAAGCAAATAAATGAGCAGGGTGTTGACCATGCAGCCGCAGTGCAAATGTCCTGCATTGACATACCATTATGCAAGGCAGTCGAAGATGCGATACCCCTGGTCGAGTGTGCTTTGAGGTTGACAGGAGGCTCTAGATCTGATGCTCTGTAGGCTTCAGAAATGGCCTCACACAGCCAGTGTGACAAGCGCTGGGTGGATAACGGGCGACCTGCAGATGCATCTCTATAATGCACAAACAAGTGTTGAGTTTGACGCATTACAGCTGTGCGCGCTATGTAACACGTCAACGCCCGCACCGGACAGAGAAGATGAAAAATGCTTCTTCTTCTGATCTGTGGGGGGGAGGGAAAAATCCCTCAAACGATATCACTCTTGATTTAAAAGAGCTCGTGATGTTTTTAGGCATAAAAGATGGGTTTGGTCTTAAATCAGCTGAACTACCGTCAGCCTGAATTCTGAGACAT